ATGGGGGTAGGGGGAAGGAGGTTGGCATTATTCCGCTCTCCTCCATTCATTCATTCCAATCCAATGGACTCAGCTGCATTTTTGCTCATTTAAATCATGTGGACTTTGAACTCTGTGTGTGTGTGTGTGTGTAAAAGAAAGAGATGCATTCCTTGGGATGTGGTGTCAATCCAAAGTGGTGACTAGGGGATTATTGGAGGAGGAGGTGGGATTTCCAAAGTGCCAGGGTCGAAATAGGGCTAATCTTCCTCCTCCCCATCATTGGAGAACCTTAATCATTTGCATTCACACATTCCACTAAACCTTAATGTAGCTGGTCTGGTTTGGCTTACCTTAGCTCTGAAAACTCTTGTGGTTTCTAACACAGAATCAAGGGCTTAGTGGGGTGTGTCAACCAGGCTGCAATGGCTTGTTCCACAAATCATGCTTGAAAGAAACCACCGCTTAATGCAGGGGGTGAACCCAGCCAAATCAGAAAAGGTATGGGGGAAGAGGTTGGCCCATTCTGAATTCAGGGAAGTTTCTGTGCTGCTTCCAAGAGCTGTATGGAATTCATTACAGTGGGTCCCATCAGGTTGTTTACCCCGTGCATGGTTGTACACACACACTTCCAGACTGATGTTAATGCAGTCATCTTAAGGAGAGGAAACCAGCATTTCAACAGGAAATAACTCAGATTAGATTATAAACCACAAGGTCTAGCTGGAGTCATCATTTTACTTTGAATGTATTTTTCCCTCCTTCCCAGGACTCACATCTGGGCTCTTGTTCCTAATTAAGAAGCAAGATAAAAAGCCACTTGCTACATGGGGATAGATTTTGAAGGCCGTTTGGTCCAACCCCCTGCTCGGTTCAGAAAGAGATCTGGAGCATTTAAAACAGCCAGGAGTAGATCCAAGTACCGTGCCCCACTTATTTATTTATTTATTTGATTTGTTCCCACTGCTATCAAGGAGGCCCTTGGTGGTTTATAGCACCTCTGTAGAAATACTATAAGAACCCAATATAGATCAGATAGATCTATATAAACAAAATCCCATAAACCCCAAATACATGCAACCGATCAGTGGCATCAGTTCATCCCCCAAAGGCTCCCTGAAAAGAGCTCAGTTTATAGTGGCCTACAGGAAGCCAGTCATGGGAGATCCCACCTGCTCTTGACTTCAAGACGTTTCTCCTGATATTCAACCTGAGATGCTGGACGTGAAGCCAATGAGATCTCGTTCTCAGAGAACCAGTCCTTGTTGTTGCCTCAATGGACAGATCATGCCTGTTCTCCATCATGAAGGGTGGTTGGCCAACACGTGGATGACTGAATGAGACTGTCTAGTGCGTAGTGGCCAACCTGTGACTGGACTATACCACTTCGTGGAGCAAGCAGGCTCCGAAAAAGGGAGCAGGAAATGGCTTTACTCTTCCCCCATCGTGCTGTTTTCTAGACTGAACGTGTATATTTGATGTAAGGAGGAACGTTTCATAGGTGTGAAATCTTCACCTCTGGTTGAAGTGGAAGAGTCCAGTGGATGTGGACTTCTATGTCTGCTCCTTTGTTAGAATAAAAACTGACCAAAGAACTGTTTTGTTCTGAATTACTTATCCCATTTTCCTTCCGTGAGGGATA